GGGGCGCGAGGAGGGCGGAGGCGCAAGCCGGGGAGGGAGGAGCTGCCCGCGCGCCCGCCACCGCCGCTGGCTCCACACCCGCCACGAGACTCTGATGACAGCGGCGCTGCCGGCGCTGCTCGCGAGCGCGGGGACCGGCCGAGCGCGGTGGCGGAGGAGAACGCGAGGACCGCGGCCCGGGGCCAAGCGCGGAAGACGCGCGGGGCCGGCGGCGCGCAGAGGTGAGCGGCTGCGCTCTCTGGGCTTGGGCTCCAGCTGCCAGGGTCCCTCCGCATCTTGGTCGCGGAAGAGGGTCGGGAGGTCGCGGGGCGCCGAGAGGGCGGTTCTGCATCCGCCGCGCCCGAAAGCGACCGCGGGGCCGTTGCTAGGAGGTGGGCAGTCCGCGCGCCCAGGGGCGCCGGCGAGGGCAGGGGCGCCCTCCGCCCGCTGGGCAGGAGGCGGGGGGCTGCGGTGGCTATTCAGGGGCTCAGTGCGGCAGCCATGCAACCGGAGGAGGCGGGAGGAGGGGAAGGAGGGAGTGAAGGGGAGAGGCAGAGGAGAGCGAGCCAGCGAGCGGGCGCCGCGCCTCCTGGCTGGCACCGCGGCCCGGAGCAAAGTGGCGCGCGGGGCTGGAAGGGAACTTCTGCGGGCTTGTGCGGCCCGGGCTCTGCGGCGCCTCAGGCCGGGCGGGGCGGGACTGTTGGCAGCCACAGGTGGTTTCTTCCAAAAGTTTTGCCGCACTTCTGCCGGGAAGGCGCGGGAGCGTTTTGGGGAGTGCAGGTTTTCTGGGACTTCGACACCGGTACCTCGCACTGTCCTTCATTGAAAATTAGGAAAGGGCTTAGACATGCACGGATCCCGAACTTCCGCAGAGAGACCTGAGGGCTGCGTGGTGGCCTTGTACCCAGGTGGCGTATAGACCAGGTCTAAGATCCTTGTAGCTGTCAAACTGAGAAGTTGGAGGGACTGGGCGTATGCACACAGTTCCTCCAAACCTTGGTCAAGTTAAGTCAAGCCTTGCCCGGTACTTGTCACTTGCGAGGGGCAGCTTGAGGTCTTTTCCTAGCGACGCGCTCGGGAACTGCGCGTGTCTTCGCCGCTCACAGCTTGTGCATCTTTTGCTTGGTTGAAAGCGAATTGTCTCAGGCCTCTGCTGCTTTGTTATTCTGGCCGCTTGTCTGATTTCACTAGAAAGCAAGGCCAGGAGGAGCCAAGGAAAAGCAAAGTAGCAGCTCCTGTTATCTTTGAAATCTATGGAGCTGTAGGCTGGTACCCAAACTCCGCATCCACAGCGCAGGGTGGAGCTGGGGGTGGGTGGCATGTGCTGCCCGCAGGCAAGCCCAGGGGACTGCTAGCAAGACTAGGGACGGGGTTTCTGGGGCTTCTAGGTCAGAGGGAGGGATGAGATGGAAAGAAATGATCTCTTAAAAGACGAAGATATGCTATGTCTAGCGTTGGGAGAGGCTTGGAGGTCCAGTTACTTGGCCCCTGTCCTCTTTGCCGAAGCCAGGGCAGCGAGATAGAACCATCCTGGTAGGTCCTGGGCTGAAAGAAATCATTATTTGGAGAGCAGGTCTGTTACCTGGGTGTTAAGAACTGGGTGAGAGTTGGAAAATACCCAGTGTTTCATTCTTCTTGATTCTAACCCCATTCCCAAGTCCCCCCTCTCTCCACAAGTACATGGACAGAAAACATGCTCTCTGCTTTAAAGATCACAGAACTGTGGTGCGGGGAGGAGGTTTCTTAAATATTAGAAGCACTCATTTAACAAAGGAACAAGGAAGGAAGATGCCACGAAGGTAAGAGGCCCCAAGAAACTAGAAGTGACATTAGTATCCCAGGCTAGCATGGAAAGTTAGCTTGGCAAAGCCTTGTGGGGTCTAAGATCAGAAATGCCACCCCAGACCCGAAGCACCTTGGGCTTATCTAGTACTTGTCAGCTAGTGTGGTGTATTTCCTATCCTGCGTCCTCAGCTTAACCGAATCAAGTCTGTCACTGCAAAGTCCAGTCACACACTCTCCTAACTTTTCCTGCTCCCTGATTGCCCTGAACCTTGTGGATTCCTTTGGTAGCGTAATGTAGCTTGATTAGCCAAGTTGAGTTTACAGCTTGTCTCCCTGAAGCACCCACTTCCCACAGGATGCCAGAACTCTATTTTCCTGGTAATTAGGTTTTACAGATATTTTTGAAAGCAAGCCCAATTTTGGACCAATTACACTTGGACACAAATGCTGTGCTGTTGTAGATACCAAATGAGAAAGATGAGCAATTATCTGGGGGTGTTGGAAGAAATGTTGTTATGGGTATTTGACACAGCTATTAAGCATCAATGAGTGAGTTCTCAGTAAATGTTTCTTACTCTGTATTTTATTGAGCAAACAAAGTGTCTTAATTAAAAAGAGCTGAGAGTTAGCCACGTAGATTTTAGCCACTTGTTTCTTTCCAGTGTGTATGGGAAGGACGAGGAAGGAGTAGAATGATAAACAGAATGGTGAAGATAACTTTTTCCTCAAAGCAAAATATTGTAGGGCAGTGCTTATGCTTCTTTTGATGCTTTTATGTACAGACCAGCAGAACCTTATTAAATCAAAAGGGCCATGGGTGTGGTATGTGTCGATCTGTATTAGTCAGAAATGACTTGTGAGGGGTAATATTTTGTATGTTATATGGCTTTCAAGGACATGAAGTATGAAGAATTCAAGGCTAATGCAGTGCCGCTGAGTATAATTCTTCAGCTCTCCTGAACAGAAAAGAGTTGATATACTGGTAGTTATGCTTAGTGCTCCTGTACAAGAACCAAGACTTGGTACCAGTGATGATATGGTGTTACCTTTTGATTTTTTTCCTACTTCAGTCATGTGCTGATCTCATCAGCATCCCCTATAAGCTAGATGGTTCAGCTACTTGTTCATGTTATAGGTAGAGAAATTGAGGCAGAATGAGAGGAAAGAAGTCTTCCTAGAACTTCTACTGCATTAATGGATTGAGCATGCAGCCTGGACTTCCTGCACTGACCAGGGTGTAGAATACTCCCTAGTTACATTTCTGGACTCTCATCTCTTTGCCATCCTGCAGTTAAAAAGGAGCATGGAGGGGTGGCAGGGGTCACAGTTACAGCCCATCAAAAGCAAGTCCTCAGAGCTTCTTGTTCCCCAACCCTGTTGAGGATGGGCAGTTGTACTCCCTTTCCTAGCAGGCTGTGGGAACTTGGGTGCTCAGGGACCAGCTACTTGAGGCTGGGGAGGGGGTGTGGGATCTGTGCCTTTTAAGGGTAAAGGAGTCAAAACTATTTATAATCTCTCTTTCCCTCCTGGGAAGAAGAGGCTCAAGGGTCTGGAACCATCCGTGGCACTGTCTTCTCCCCATGATGACTGTGTTCTATTGGGAAAAAGCCTGCTACCCATCCACATGGGAATGGACCTCGAGCTGTGTTGAGGGATCTGGATCTGTAGGGCTTCTGGGAATGTCAGCTGCCCTGGAGGATTTAAGATACAAGGATTTCCTGATGCTAGTGTGTGTGCCTTCTCTCAGGCTCTTCCCTACTGCAGAGGGGGGCAGACCTCAGAACCCCTCAGGACAGAATTTAAGAACCCACTAAAGTAAGCACAGTTGGCCTTTCTGAATAATGATGAATTTCCTCTTCTAAGTACTGGGGATTGAACCAGGGAGCACTGAGCTAAATCTCCAGCTTTTTATTTATTTGCTTGTGAGTCAGAGACTTGCTAAGTTACCCAAGAGACATCAAACTTTTGATCCTTTTACCTCAGCTTCCCAACTAGCTGGGATTACAGGCAAGTGCTACCACCTTCAGCTTACAATAGTTTTTGTGTAGGAGATTGTGAAAGTGACAAAATAGAAATGGTTCCATTTGACTCCAGGCAGAGGTATTTTGCTGCAGGGCTGGTGGAGAAGGTTTGAGGCAGGCCCTCCTTCCTAGCTGTCCTCTAGGCCTGTCTCCTGCTGCCCCCACCCCTTACCCACTCACTCTTCAAACACCTAAGTCCTCTCTTTTGTCTTGGAGTAAATAATACCTGCCATGCTACCAGTTACAACTTCATTCCTGAGACAGAACAAATTTTTCCCCTGGGTGGGTGGAGGAGGGAAGGGCTTTCAGGGAGGAGGAAGCTACACCACCAGGCTGGTCTCTCTGCTTTGGTCCTCAGTATGAATTGACCTGCCCATCAGAACTATTTGAAGGGCTCCCAGGAGGTTTTACGAGGGGGAAAAAAAGATTGAAGTAGGAGGCCTTGAACGGGGAGGAAAAGTGGATGGATAGCTGGGATAATGGTGGCCTGGTATGGCTGGCCCAGGTGCACCAGCCTGTGAACTTTAGGACATGGTTTGTGTGCTGCTGCTCTCCCTGTTCTCAAAGTGCAGCACAAGGCTGGGGACAAGATGTGTTTTCAGAACCAATCAGGCTGAACAGGGTGGATGGGTGGACAGTGGTCAGATTGGGTTTGCTCTGGGCACTAGTAAGGTGTGCTGGGATGACAAGAACACAGCGGCAGAGAGTGGAGGAGAGATGGGGGTTCCATGGACACTGTGACAGCCCTGGAGTCAGGCTGACTGGTCACTCCACCTCACAGTGATGCTAGGAGCATGCCTCAGGGATTCTGCATGGGGCCATGTGGTCATTTTGTTTGGCTGCTGTGATCTGGTCGAGAGTCACACAGCCACAGGCAGTGACAGGTTCCTTCAGGAAGACAAGTCAGACCACTCCCTCTGTGGTCTGTGTTGCTGTCCCTGTCCCTCTGACCTTCCCCCCACCATGCCCACTCTCCTTGACTCTTGTTTCTTGCACACCTGGAGCTCCAGTGTTTTTTTATGAGGCTATTCTCTTTGTCTGAAATGTTTTTTCCTCCAATTCTTCCCAGCTAGTTTCTTGTCATTTAGGTCCCAACTGAAACATCACCATACACTATATTCTTGACTGGCTCTCCTCTTGTTTATTGTCTGTCTTCTGCATCAGGATGTAAGCTCCATGAGGCCAGAGACCTTGTGTGTTTTGCTTCCTGTTATTTCTTCAGCACAGTGCTGGGCACATGGCAATGCCCAACTAAATAGCTGGTGAGTGAATCTGCCAATTTGTACTGTTGGGGTGTATGAAGGTAAATCAGCCAGAGGCCCTGTGCTGTGGATTTCTTCAGCCTAGAGGCAGAAATAAAGCTAATTCATGTGGATTTTGATGTATGGCAAGAAGAGAAGGTGGCATTCAAGGGGCTCAGCCCAGGAGGGTCAACC